TAAATGGGATCGACTCCTTAATTTCTCTTTCTTCTGTCTTCTTGGTGTATAGGAATGCCACTGATTTCTGTGCATTGATTTTATATCCTGCCACTTTACTGAATTCCTGTATGAGTTCTAGCAGTTTGGCGAAGCACAGAAATCTTTAAAAACTTAAAAGAGGACTGAATTACCCAGAGAAGTAGAGTTGGAGTGATCATTTAATATTTTCTGTAGCACATGCCTTCTGAGCCTTATCTTGGATAATGGAAGAATTGGGCCAGACAAAGGGAGGTGGAAAGTTTCTGGTAGAGAAAACAGCATGAGTAAAGGCCAAGAGATGAGTCATAATGTCAACTGTGCGGGAAAGGGCCAGCAGCTCAGCTGAGTATTCCTGGGGGTGAAAGTGTAAAGCTAGAAAGGAAGAAGATAAGGTTAAGAGCTAGATAATGAATATGTTTCTCAAATGGCAAAGTTTTGAGTGCCCTCTCCAAAAATATTGATATTATCAGGAGAAAGCATTTGTGTACCTCCCAGTCTGTGCTTGCCTCTTTCCCTACCCCTTTACTCAGGAAATGATTATCTCTGAGGTGCCGATTCTAGTAAGACCAATATACTCCAGTTGATCTTCTTGGAACTAGACCCAAATTACAATGAAGATACTCATCTTCCCATTCTTTCCTTCCAAAACCCCTAGATCTTAGAGAAACTGCCTCATAAGTCACCTAAATGTTGTCCTGGTAACTATATACATGACAATGTAGTTGATGTTACAGTGAAAATGTATTGATTACCAGATGCCAGACTATCTCTGCCTTTTCAGCTCTTCCTTGGATTCCATGAAGGGAGAAATCATCTGGTCTTATTCTCTCTAGCCTTAGCTTCCTTGTAGCCTTACATTTAACAGGTACTCAACCAATCCTACCAATAGGTACTTAAAGCCAAGAATAGATTCACTTGCACTCGTGGTAAATACTTATCTCATCCAGTTCATTTTGTTTTCTTCATTCGAGCTTTATTGTCTACGTCTTGGACCTGGCATACCCTTTCTCACCTCAGGGATTTTACATATGTTCTTCATTTGACTGGAACATTCTGTCCTCCACCCCAGTTCCCATCCTGACCCCCTTAAAAGTTACTAGCTGCTTTTCACCTTCAGGAAAAGTCCCTATGCTTCCTTCTTCTGTTGGCCACTCCTACACTCTGCCTTCATCTTCATGTGCCTCATCGACTGACATATTCACCACTGTAGTCCCAGAACTTAGTCTGGTGCCAGGCACAGTGCTGGTGTGTAACAAATATTAAATAAATTTATGATTACATGACTGCTACTGAGTAATATCTCTGTTCAATGAGCATTGGTTTTTTTCAAAGAAAAACAGAATTAGAGAAATGTCAGAAGTATAAAGACATGGGATTTTAGTTGTTATGGTTGAATTATTAATTTCAGCCTTTCAACATAAATGTACAATTGTGAAATCAGTCTTCTAGAATTTTTATTATTCAGTCAATAAAAATTGCTAAACATTACCTTGACATTTGTAGTGATGTAACTGTCAAGTTATAGCTGATCTTATCTTGACACTGAACTTTTCTGACTAATTGAGTGTCTTAATTAATTTTTCTGGATTAACTACTAAATTCTTAGTCTTCATCTCTTTTTATCCAAGAGCAGAAATTAATCAAGTAGTTGTAAATTTAGTAAGCTATCTTGGTTGTAGTGAAAATAAATACCCAGTGATAGAGGACTGGTTAAATAAATGATAGTTTATGACCTTGATGAAACAGTATCTAACCATTTAAAATGGATAATTATAAACACTACCTAGGTATATGGATATGGCTTAAAATATAATATAAATTAGAGAAAAACATCAGAACATAATATGGAAACATAAGGTAACCAGGGAGATGTAGATTAAAGGAAAATATGTAAATAATAAATACGTTAAGTTAGATGGCTTGTGAATTTGGGCAAGACTTTAATTATGCCTTACATACAGATTTAGAAGGTTATATGTACATTGGATATCAATTACTATAATCTGCATGAGTAAATATGAAAGCTTTATTAGAATATAAACTATCACATTTACATGCCGCAGTAGTAATACATTCCTTGTCAATATCTATTGCAAATTAAAACCTGTTTATTACTGAAAAATATCTCACATTTATTATAACTCTAGAAGGGAGACCTGCCTTCTGAAGTCAAAGCTTCTTGTTATATAGGAACACATTTATTTGATGCATAACAGTACTGGAAATAAAATTAAAACAGCCAAATTTCACTACTCTACCAAATCAGTTTTCATGTAACTGGTTTCCTTTTATTCTTTTTCATATGCATGTATAATTTTTACAACTGACAGTAATGTTTTTGCATTTTTTTCTTAAAAGCAAAAATATAAGGCCCTTTGAATAAGCGAAAATGTAAGACCCCTTAAATCCTTGCAACACAGAGACAAACTTGAGTGTTTTTCCTGACCTTCCTTTGTCTGCTGACAGTGCACTTCATAGCTTTGTATAAAAGACTGTTATCACCTGATTTCCATTTGAGTAGTAAGATGATAATTTGGAGTGCAAGGGGAACTAGGTTTAGGTGACAGCCATATCATTTAATGTCTACTTATTGTTTCTCCAGGGGAATTCTGGCCTGGGATTCAGTATTGCTGGAGGGACAGATAATCCCCACATTGGAGATGACCCTGGCATATTTATTACGAAGATTATACCGGGTGGTGCTGCAGCAGAGGATGGCAGACTCAGGTAAAGCTCTGAAACGTTAGAATTATTTGGAAAGTAAATCTGCCACATCAATGATACATGTTTATACCTTTGGAGAATAATAATTTTACAAAGCTCTGTACTTGAAAGAAATGGCTGTCAAAGCAAGCTTTCTGTAATGACTTTGCAGATTTCTTACTACTTACTAAAATTCAACTAGTATTTAATTTGTGTTTGTTGACGGGCACTACGTTCAACATTCAGCCTGGCTCTGTAAGGAGAGAGTATGCAGAAAAATCTTGTGTTCCATGGGGTCTTCATTCTGGTTGGAAGGAATAATACTCAGAGCTGGTGAGCAAATAATAAAATGTATCAAAAAACAATCTACTGTAAATAGTATTAGCAAATAAAGCAATGGTATAGATACTGTGTGTATTCATAGATTCAACGATCATTTATAAGGGCTTTCTCCAGGAGTTTGAACAGAGAGTCTAAGAACTATTCCGTAGGAAGATTCTATTAAGATTTTCACTAACCCCATAAATCTGAACAAGAACACAGAGGGAGAAAGAACAAGTTATCCCAACAAAGAGAGAAACAAACTTGACTTGGATGAGGACCACATGTGAGGTTAAGTAGGTAGATGGAGCTCAGCATAGAGTCGTAGCTGCTAGAGCCAGGGCCCCCACTCTTAAAAGAACTGAAGATTGTTTGGGGAACTAAGGGTCACACACATGGGACAATTAGTAAATAATATAAAAATCTATCAGAGATCAAATCACCCGCTACAAGGCATTGTAGATTGGAACAATTAGAAGAGATTTCCCTGGGAAGAAAAACATGTCCCAGTGTTCTTCTAGTGCTTCCACCACACTGTGAATCCCCTCAGGCCATGAAGTTATATATAGAAGTGAATCAATAAATTCTGTCTGAATGAATGAATGAATGGATTGATTAATTAATTAATTAAAGGAAATGAGGTAGGAGGGTAAATTAATGAGTAAGAAGAGGGAGGCTTGCATAAGCAAAGCCCTCTAGGTAAGAATGATGAGCTTGCATGGAGCCACAGTGGAGACTGTGAACTAAGAGTCACATTTGTGACTCTTAAAGAGGATAATCATAACGCTAGCTAAAACGTATTGAACTTTTTACATGTGTGGAGCATTGTGCTAAAATAGATAGAAATAGAGATGTACGTAAACACATACAGTCTTCTAGATACTCACAACATCCCTCTGTGGTAGATACTAGTATTTGGCCATAATATTAACTCATGAAATTAAGGCTTAAAGACTAAGAAGATCATCCAGTTAGCTTTGAATACATCCAAAAATTCATCCTGAATATCACTTGTGTACTCTCTAGACTCTCATTCAAGAGTAGAATCTTATGTATCATTTGGTCTCTGCCTAAAAACTCTCAAAGGTAAAGTTTTTCACAATGTTAAGGGGCTCCTCTAAACATTACAAAGTTGGTTATTTTTCTGCTGAGCTACAGTTTTCTTTATTCTGACCTCTACCTGTGAATCATTACAATGGCTTCTTGGAGCCAGGGCTATGGCCTAGGACTGCGTATGTGAATATTGCCTCCTAAGGTTGTACAGTGAACAACTTGGAAAACTGAACAGTGATTCTAACTCAAGCAACAAAATATACCTACTCCCCAGCCCACATTGCAGGCTTTTGCTTATGTGAAGAGAGCTATTGGGTAGGTCTCCACTTCATTTTGATAGATCCTTGCTACTACCATGGAGATTGTTTCCCACTTCACTGCTTCCTGCCATGAACAGGGATGGCCAGGAGACATTGAAGAGATCAAGAATAACAATAAGTTGAAAATCTGGCAGCATGACATTAAGTATAGGTTTTTAGAATTTGGCAATTTATCTAGTTCAAAATGTACATTTTACAGATGAGGAAACTGAAGCTCAGAAGAATGATTTATCCTGAGGCATAAATCTTTGGAGGCTCTGCTTTAACTAGGATCCAAATGTCTTGACTCAAGTAATTAGCACCATAAGGTAGTTTTGAGGGACAGTAACACCCAAGCCCACCCAAGAAGTCTTTTCTCAGTGTGGTACGAACACTGTTCAAAGATGGGCCAACAAGCTGTGAGGAGTATTTTTTATTTCACCATTAGTGCTTCAGACAGGGGAGCAGCACATTACAATGTGCTCTGGAAAGATGTAGGTTCTAAGCTCTGTATACTAATATAATTGATCTTGGAAAGTTAGACTCTTTCAGTCACTGTGTTCTCCTACGTAAAATGATGATACTCATACCTACTCCACTGAGTTGTTCTGAGGATTCAGTGAGAAAACTTATGTCCCTAGCTAATCAGTAAATATTAGCAATGTCTCCCCCCCTTTCCCTATCTGTTCTCTCTGCTCTCAGTGGTCTTTCCTCTGCTCTTGCCTGTTTTTCTCTTTTTCTCTATGGTTTTCTATTACCTTTCCTCTCGTCCCTTCCATCTTTCTTTCAGTCTCCTTTCAGCTGCCACATCTTTCCCTAAGCTTCCTGTTCCTTTCTGTTCATAGCCCCTTTTCTCCTGCTTATAACATGGAATTAAAGCCCATTTAGAAACAGGTATGGTACTAACTAAGGCTTTATATTTCTGTTCTTGAGCTTATAATACAGTTAGCTGAATCTATGTTTCCTTCACTTAAAAAATAAGCTCACAAACTAAACATGGTTATGTTTTACTTGAAACTTTTTTTGTTCTTCCATATGAGTTAGAGACTTAAAATTTTTAAGTGTGTCTTTCCCACAATAAATTACATTTTTGAAAATTAGATAACACTAAAAATTTATAATGAAGCTGAGGCCCAGAAAAATGAGGTCATGGGTCTGCCCCCAAAAGAGTAGAAATTTGAACTCAATATTAGTGGATATATTATAATCAGATCAACAATAGTAATAGCAGAGACAAACATAGTGCTCCAATGTATTGAAGTATTCTCCCGGCACAATAACTCATCTAAAGTGTACAACAACAAGTGAGACCCACACTTTTCAATTAAAAAATCT